AGTGTTACATCGACTTCTTGTTTCTTACCCGGCCATGTCATCCCGCAAGGTGCTGTTGGTGGAAACTGAAAATAGAGACGACAAGGTGTAACATTCGTCATTAAGTTAGGTTACTATTTGCGAGTGTCTCTGTGAACTTACTGAAGTATTGAGTATTGTTTTTAGACATTGCTGCGGACTGTATAAATCTGTCCGCCATATGCCCAAATACAACACACATGAGGGGGAACACCAGCCCATGGGCCACCGACATCACCGTCCCAAAGACAATTAGTATGACATCTATGCCATCTGCAAACCTGAACTGTGCTCATGGAACCAAACAGTAATTGTCAGTATTAATCTTACAACCCTGTAAAAAAAAATAAAAATACAGATGGACAACATACCAGTTCAATGGGGCCAACAGTGACAATTTTCCCCTCTTTTTCTTTCTTCTTTGCGCTTCCTGCTTTATTGTACTCACTTGGACAAAAATAAAGACATATTAAAGATACTCAAGTGTTTCAGTGATTTACAGTTTGCTGCTTTAATCTGAAATCAAACTCCAGTGGTTTGTTAAAGAGCTCCATAATATTACCTTGAGTAAATATCCGTATTGTGATCGCAGCTGTGCTTTTGCAACTTGTCTGTTTCACTCATGTCTGGGGTCTGTCAGAGGAAGATGGAGGATCTGTTATTTTGGTTTACGAGATTGAATTGATGAGTGCCTAAAATCCATGGACACTGCAAGATTTTATCCCTAGAAATTCTTGGATGGGGGTTCATTTGTTGTTCGGTTATGTATCGAAGGCCCTCTGAAAGTAAATGTCTTTCCAGAACGCTCTGCTCCAGTGCCGCAAATTGAAAATGATATTCTCTGGTCATGAATCATGGTCCCATCAGCATAACTTTTTGCACACTTATGGCGCCCCTGCTTACTCTCTTCACACTTGTCTTGATTAAATTACATTTAAACTCACTTGAGGTGAAGTCAGGCAATTGACTTGGCTTTTTTAGTACAATCTTCAGTCTAAAGTACAGTATTTGGTTCTCGCACAGAGATACTATTAAACAGAAAGCAAGGGTCCACTTGGCAAAACACCACCACGAAGGAAACTCGAAATTTGATCCGATCCATGTGCTCCAAATTTAGGCTGTATCCATCAATATACATGCTACAGATTCAGATCATCTTTTCTTTTGGTTTTTGCGCCAATTTAAGTGTGGCCACCTCTGCGGAAACGTAAGATAATTTATAGGATATTTAATTGTTGGTCAGCGTTGAAAGTGATGTATTATAATGACAAAAAAATGAATGATAATCCGACCATCCTCGATAAAACTTGTCCTTTTCGATTTGGCCAGTAGATGGCGGTGTAAGGCAACCTAAAACCTCAGGCATAGCTTGCCTTACTGCGCATGCGTTGACGTTCTCTACTCACTCCAGACTGATTCGATTCTGCCATCCTTTCGTACAGGTAGTAACACGTTAACCTGTTATTTTTTTTAAGTATTTATTTATTACGCTTAACTATAGTACTGGCTTGTTTGTATTACTGTAGTAAACAGATTTAGGTTCCTAGTTGAATGTGCAACTTTAGAAAACTTTTCGTCTTTCTGAAGTATTTGCTCGTTGCTAATAAGCACAACACTTGTTCGCAGTCTGGTTTTTCTAATTCATATTTATTATTTCCGTGCTAATACCGACAGTTCCACCAGGTGCAAACTAACATATAGCCTCTTCCTGTAATTGTCTTTGTTGTTGTCTTCTGTATCATCACTTCAACAATATAAAATTAGCTTCAACTCGTTTAGTCATCATGAACATTTCACAATTATTTCAACCACGGAGCTAGCCTAGATTTAACCATGTACTTCCTCATCGGAGTATGTTTAACTCTACTATATTAATGGATCATTTTAAAACCACCACTTCATACAAAGCGCTGTACATGAAGCAAAAATGACTCATAGGTCAACAAAGACGGTTAAAACGTCAAATATATAAAACCAGTAAAAAGCACAAACACTAAAACAAAAACTCTTGTCCTGAGACAAAACAACAACCCTCCTGAAGATACTGAAACCAGGGAAGCCTACACCTCAGTCCAGTGTATATTTCTAAGACACCGTGCCCCCGTAAAAAATACAATCAGTGATCAATTTATACATTCCTTTAAGTATCATGTTGATCATACACTTGGTTTCATATAACAGGGTATGGGCACTGAACCCGAAAAGCAGATATGTTGATTTAAATCAACGTTCGGGAATACTTGTATAAATATGTATGCTGAAAACTCTAAATCGGTGTCATGTGGCACAGTTGTTCAATCCTATGTAAAAGCGCTGCCCCTATTGTTGAGCGTGACTTAGCAACCGAGCTAACGGAGTAGAAATTCTTCCTGGGTAATCACAAAACTCTTCCTGCCATGTCCTCCAGTTTGGCATTCCGCCTACCTAGCATCAACCACAGTGTTTACAAACCATTTAGCCCCAAAACAGCGACGCAGTACGCCTTCAAAAACCAACAGCCGCGTTTGACTTCTTGGTTCATTTAAACTTCCGTTTGACGTGATATCCGAAGGAATACGGGAGCGAAATTCACTTTTGGCATTGCTCCTCGTGCACCACATCAGAACATGCTGCGTAATTCCATTTACTGAGCAAATGTTCACCGGATATTAACGTATTTGAACGATCAAGAACGTCATGTTTGCCATACCTGCAGTCCTCAGTTGTGCTCCAACATGATCCAGCTGCCATCAGTTATGATACGCCCTCCACTGGCTGAAAAACAAAAACATAGGCTACAACCGAGCTGTTTACAAATTCTAGGGGCGGTCCTACACTCCCACACTGGGGCATGACTTGTTCGGGTTTTCACCGATCCGTACTTCACTTGAATATTTATTTTTCCGAAAATTATATCTGTCCTAATGGCTGGCAACCAGGTGTACCCCGCTTGTTGCCCAAAGACAGCTGGTATAGGCTCCAGCGAGGCGACCCTCGTGAAGATGAACAGATCAGATAACGGATGAATGGAAGATATCTGTACTATCCACTACTCACTGTGTCAGAATTGACTTGTTACTTTTATTTAAACCTTCGCGGATGGCATCACGATATAAAAATAATAACAACAAAATAATAAAATGATGTAAATAGAAAGGTAAAGCCTGACGATTGAAATCTTGGGGATTTAGAAGACAAAAAAAAAACAAGGACACTATCATTAATGACGATGACATCAGATTTGAAGAAGTAAGATATTACCCATACATGGCCTATTAAAGAAAACGGTTTGATGTTTTCAGGTCCAGGAATGATTCGTGACAAATACGTTGTCTTGTGCCAGCCCAATACCACCAACTTCTGGCACTGAACAATTCTACATCTAATCTGGGGGCAGGAGCAAAACAACAACAAAACACTCAGGGTAAGTGTACATTTTTTGTTAATCAGTTTGTGCACAACGTAAGTAAAGCGACATATAGGTCTAAAACACGTGTCTGTCATCTGCTCAGTGTGCAGATTATTTTTTTAAACTCCAAATTTTCAGAACAGGTATATTTCCTGAAATACCTGAGGTTCAAAACTCCTGTTTTTTTAAACCACAACAAGGCACAAGAGGCCGTGTGGTTTCAAGTCTGACTGTGGTCACAGGCAGTATTAAGGAGAGTATGTATGTACAGTATTGAGTTTTTGTTTTCTTCGAAAATAATTATGTTTGTGTTGCTGACTGTTTGGCCAGTAGATGGCAGTGCAAAATTATGTTGACGTTGTTTTAATCTACATCCGTTCATCTCCTCAAACTCTCAAAGACTCATTAAATTCTTCCATCGTTTTTATGGAAGTACCGTACTGTAAAAATGCTTTTGTAAAAATGCTGTCTCCCACCACTGCACTCAGCATTGTCCATACCGTAAATGTGAATGTGAATTTCTGTTCAGATCAACTTTAACTATACGGCATTTCAAAAACAACCACAAATTTAGTGCTGTACACAGATAAAAATACTGAAGATAAAAAAAAAAAATGATACAATAAGATAAAAACAAACAAACAAAAAAAACATGACAACAGGTCTTAAGTTTTATGTTCAGTTGGAGGCCAAAGGGCAAAGCACAAACTGGGAATGGACTCAAGTACTGTAATTGTTGATCACAGTAAATAACAGAATGGTTCACTTCGATATACAGTACTGTATCTTGTCTGGTGGTTAATATTGACTATGGCGTCTCCTGTGGCCAGTAGTGATAAACCAACACAGCTGATAACATCCACCAATGAACTTTACTTCTTATCTGTATGACTGTTCAAGAAAGTCAACTCTCCGAGTATATTAGAATCACATTCAACTTCTACAAAGTAATGCTATGTCATACAAAAATATCATATCATTCCACATATACATATACACATAAACACACACATACATAGAAAAAATATATATACTGTATATATATCTTATCTATTACAATTCTTCAGTAGTACATTCAAGTGACAGATGTTCCACAGTGTGTTGTTAATGGTAGTTCTAATAAGGTGAAAGGAAACATTTAGGTAACTTGTGTGATCCTGTCCAGAATAAATGAGTGTAAGCCCAAGTACTCAGTCAGCACTCATGCCAATGCTGAGATGATACATTCAATCTCTCGATGCTTCACGAGACGAACACCAAGTTTCTATTAATAAAAATGGTGATTCACTCATTCCCTCCCAAGGCCCATCTGAGTGGTGACCAGCATGTGGTAGACTCCCTTTTTGGCTAGTAGCTGCTGATGTGTCCCTTGTTCAACCACCACACCGCCCTGAAAGACGGCGATACGGTCTGCAGTTTGGATGGTGGACAAACGGTGGGCTACAACAATACACGTCCTGCCCTGGCTAGCTTTGTCCAGCGCCTCTTGGACCACCTGGATCAAACACAAATTGGGAGGACAGAAGTCAACATGGCTAAAACACAAAGTGGTCAAATGTGGAGCAATTCGAGATGAAAAGAAAAAAACTGTCACCTTCTCGCTCTCAGTGTCGAGTGCAGACGTGGCCTCATCCAGAAGCAACAGTTTGGGGTTACGGAGGATGGCTCGGGCTATGGCGATTCGTTGTTTCTGACCACCTGACAGCTGGGTCCCCTTATCGCCTGCCTGAGTGTCATACTTCTGCTCGAGGAAACAAAGTCAAAGTCAGTGCATGGAATGTTACACTTCAATCGATCAATCAATCAATCGATTAAGGGGAAGCATGTAAAGATTAAAAAGTATTGGGCCTAAAATTAAACCTTGAGGAAGCCAACATTCAATTTTATGGACTCTGAAGGAACAAGTATTAAAACTTACAAAATCACATCTGTGTGAGATAGGAATGAAACCAGTTAAAAACAGTACCAAAGATGCCTACCGGGTTTTTAAGTCTGTTTAAGCGCTTAGATCTAGTAGCACCAAGTCTGTGAGTTTTTTTTCATGTCTGCATGACACTTGGTATCATTTAAACTCCTTACAAGAGCTGTCTCCGTATTATGGTTCATCGTAAAACCAGACTGATATTTCCCTAAAATATTATTTGTGTGTAGAAAAATTGTTTCATTGGAGGAAAACTAGTTTCTCTAGACTCTTACTTAAAAATGGTAAGTTGGATACAGGGCTGTAATTATTAAAAACCGCTGGGGACCAAATCGGCTGAGAGACATGCTGTATACCAAAATAATTACTGAGCATGTCTTCAAGCCATTTTATAAAAATGAAAAGGAAGTGATACTGGATGGGGTTTTTTTTTTGCCTCGTCATTAAAGCTATAGGCAGAAATCTAATGATAGAACTGTCTCAAAGGTTGAAGTGAGACTAGATGACAGCATGAGTTTTGCCAAAGTTGCGTGATAATTGATTTTACCATTGGCAATTTTTCTATGAAGCTGTGAATGTTGGCTTTCTCAGCAGCTGCCTTAATCTCCTCTATGGTTACAGTCCGACTGTTGTCTCCGTAAGCGATATTTTCGGCCAAGCTGCAGTCAAAGAGCACGGGCTCCTGGGACACAATGCCTATCTGAGACCTCAGCCAGTGGATGTTCAGCTCTTTCACGCTCTTGGAATCAATCACCTGGAAGAAAAAAAAATGCAAAAATGTGAATCAAATGATTGAGGTCAAGTCTCAAGCAGAGCTTAGGTTATGTGGTCCAGGTTTCGAGCAATACACTCAAGACCCATGTAAGCCTCAAGTGATTTGGACCTCACTTATGATCTAATCGGGGATATTTTTGTCCTTTTGATTTGATGGATAGAAACTATGGAGAATCTTATTTCATCCTCAAATTAGACCAGTCCTGAGTTCAAACGGCAGTAACTTTCAAGCAAGACTCGCATTATCCGGGCATCCATCCTTCCATCCATTATTAGAACCACTGATCTTGATCAGAGATCTTGGAACCGTTGTTCCCACAGATCGCTTGAAATTAAGACTGAGCAACAGAAAAAGTAATTCTATGAGGATGAACTCGGAAACAGCATGAAGTAAATATTGTGGGCCAAGGTCTTACCAGTGAAATACACGCAATTACTACAAAAACACTCACCATTAGCTCACATCGAGTAGGTGGCAAGGAAGGATCTAATTGTGTGTTTGTATGCGTGTGTCTCTTCTCACCACATTCCCTTGCGTGGTGTCGTAAAACCTTTCCAGAAGCTGAATGGTAGTGCTTTTTCCGCAGCCGCTGCTTCCTACCAGGGCCAATGTTTCTCCCTTGCTCACTTTCAGGTTCAGCCCTCGAAGGATGGGCACATCAGGGCGTGAGGGGTAGTTAAACTTAACTTCCTCAAAGCGCACATTGCCGTCAAATTTATCCTGGAGATTTAAGAACGAACACGGAAGGGAAATGGATGATCAATCAATATGAATGTGAAGAAAAAAAGGACTGGTAAGCATGTCAGGTTTTGTGTCGCATACCAGTGACTCTCCATCCTCTGACAGATTATCAATAGCAGGCTCTGTGTTCAAAAGCATAACGAGGTGTGCAGCAGACATTTTGGCCTTGGCGTAGTTTGGAGTGAAGGAATTGGCTTCTCCGAGAGCCATGGCGCCATACAGAACTGCTGAAATAACTCTGGGTGAGAGAATGTGAGACTGAATGTTAATTTATTGTGACCACATACACACTATAAAGAAGTGTATTGAAAATGTCTGCGCACGCCTTTTTAAAGACAATTTTTTTTTTTTTTTTTTTTTTTTTAATAGGGCCCTTGTTTACGTCTCAGTAGATGTGTGAGTGGACATTTTGTGGTGGCTGCTCGGTGTGTGAATTCATTCCAGTGATATAAATATTGTTTAGCTTCTTTACTGAGATGAACTTTGAATTCACTGTAAAAGCTGTAATATGAAAGGAGAAGCTCCCCTCGTGTACATCTCTCCCGTGTGACCATAAAGCCAATGTTTTGTAATCTTGTCACATTCACAATTGCCCTACACGTGCTTTGAACCTGTGGTAAATGATTTAAGTATATACACCAGTTATAATTATCTGCTGGATTTTTTTCCCCCACTTTATTGTCTGTCAAAGTACAAAAGTGAATATTGGACTCATCTATGGTGACTCACAACCAGGGAAAGCCGTTACTCACAGGAATACGCCCTCAACATCCATTCGTTTTTGGTCAATGAGCCAAGCCCCAAAGCGGAAACATCCTGCGTAAGCAAAGTATATCATGGCCTGGGAAAATGCGAAGGTAAAACCGTAGACGTGAGCCTTTTTCTGAGAGTTCCTGAAAAGAAAGAAACGCAAACATTATTGAGACCAAGAGCGCGGAGTTCCAAATGAATTATTTTTGGAGAGTAGATTAAAGGTCTGTTGTACTTGTATGGAACGATGAGGTTTTCATGATACAGAGACTCAAACTTGGGTTCTCTGGTCAGAGATGCAACGGTACGAATATTCTCGATGGCTTCTGTGGCAATCTGAGGAGACGGGATGGAATACCGCAGGGTCAGGCTTGGAGAGACTGCATGACTATGACAAACTGTTGCATACTTGGATAAATATATTGGTCAACACATTCTAAAATTAATAGGCGTGAATAATGGTTGATGCGGTCCACCATTTAACTTTTTCAAGACTCTTTAACCACACTGCCAGAGCAATTATTTGTCACTTCTACACCTTTGTTTGACCCCCCCCCCCCCCCCCATCCAAAACGAGCACTTTAGAGCAACGGCTGATTTGGTGATGGGTAGCCCAATGCTTGTATTCCTAGAGTGTCATTCACCTTTCCAGCCTTCTCCAACTCTTTCTTGTCCTGAGCAGCTTGCCCAGCTAGCAACTGCATCTGCACAGTTCCCGCTACTGCCATGACGGGAACCACTGACAATATGAGCAGGGTCAGCTCCCAGCCATACACGAAGGCAAGAATCAGAGCGGTACCCATATTGGCCACATTCTGGACCAGTGTGGCCAGACGTACTCCCGTAGCCTGACCAAAAGGGGAAAGATGATAACAAATGTGTGGGAAAAATGATGGTGGGTTATGTGTGGATGCTCCAGTGAGAGAATGCCTTACCCCTTGTACTTGAGCAGCATCTGTGGCCAGCCTTGTTGTGAGCGCTCCGACGCTGTTTTTGTGATCATCAAACCAGCCGAGGTCCTAAAAAAAATGGAAAAAGTTTCTGTTTTAAGTTTTGGGAAACTACCAAGCCATTTTTGTTCTTCTGTATTTGCCATATCTTGGTAAGAGACATTCACCCTGCCCCTGTACCTTTAAGGGAGGTTACTCTGTTCCAAGGGAGGATCGACAAAAAAGGGTTGAAGGAGAGTAGCTTGCTGCTTGCGCTTTAAACAATCAGTTTGGTGTGGAGAGTAAAAAGAGACAACTTGCTTTCATCTCCTTAATGAACGCATCTCCACAATTCTATCTGCTTTTTGGAGCCTGCAAAAACTATCATGCTGGGATCTTAAGATTTTAAAGTGCCTGTTCTTTACTTCAACAAATTAAAATGAATTCTGTGAATTGCAGGTGGCATTTCATTATTCCGCCATGCATTTTTCTACCCTCAGAACGATGGTTGGAAACTGCATTGTTCCTGTGTAATCCCCGCTTTTCTGTATTTGTGACTTCAAAACGTATGTCAACAATGTTAGTTGGCATACGTGATCTGCAGCGACCAAGTACTGAAGCCACATAAAGTATTTACTCCGTCATATGATTAACAAAGCCTTTAAGATAAAATTGTCTCATTAAAAATTGTTCCACTTACCTGCCTCATCATGGCCTTGAAAGCTGCAAGTCTCAATTTCATTGTCAAGAGCTCTCCAGATTTACCAAAACAGAAACCCTGTAAAAGTGAGAGCCACAAGACATGAACATGAATTGACCATCGCCCCCATTGAAGGTGAACTGTTATTGAAGACTTTGAAATGGAAAAACATTCTGGTCTCTTGACACAAGATACATTTTTCTTTCTACATTAGCAAACATCATCACAACGGAACACGCACGTGTGTGACGCATAGCGGTACCTGTAAAAACATGGTGACAAACGATACAGCGCCAATAACCGCAAACATGAGAGAGAAGAATAGAGATTTCTGTTGAACGACGTTCAAATCAGGCTCAGCAAACACCTGAAAGTCGGAAAAAGAAGAAACAAATAAATTCCTTCAAAGTTCCCATTTTAAAACATCACTTATGTGATGTCCTCCCCAAAAAAAAAAAAAAATGAAGATGCAAAACTGAAAAACAAATCTGACAGTGATGATCTTGGAGAAGATGACTGCAAACAGTGGCTGCATCGCGCCATTAATTGAGGCACAGATGGTTCCAACGAGAATGTAAGGCCACTCAGAAAGGTTGAATCGCATCACTTTGAGAAATGACACCGGGGGAACATTTTCACTCTGCAGTAAATCAGGAAAAAGAGCCGTATCAGGCCACCCCTTAATACTTTGCAAAGAAGATTTCGATATATCAAGCAACTATCTGGTCTTACCTCCTCTGTTGTATCTTTGTCATCCACCAAATTTTCTTTCTCTTCTTTTTTTCCCTCTGAACCAACAAAGGAGGATTTTGTCGACCTTCTCCTCAATGGAGGGGAGTTGGAAATACTTTTGTCGGCTGGGCTTTTTTCAACAAGCTCCTCATCCTCCTCCTCGTCGTCGTTCGCTTTCTGAAATGTCTGCAAGATGGAGATGAGAGTAAATGACAAGACCTAGATCATTCTGGGCCTGCAGTAGATTGTCCCCAAAATGTGTTTTTTTTGCACTAGCGTTACCTGCGTAGTGACGAGCGTATGGTATACGCCTTGTTTTTCCATCAGTTGGTTATGAGTCCCCAGCTCGACAACCGTTCCATTTTGGAAGCCGGCGATGATATCAGCGTTTCTGATTGTTGAAAGGCGATGGGCCACAATTAAGGTGGTACGACCCAGCCTAACCTGCACAAATGACAGAAAGGTATGATCTGAAGGGAAGTTGATGAATGTAAACAGCGCGAAGCATCGGTTCATTTTGTATGCGCCCTCGACCTCTGAGCTCTATTCTGACACTCTCATAATAATGCAAACTGGGTGGCAAGGAACAGCTGTCAGAGCCGTCGGAACGCCATTATTCCATTCTCTTCAGGGTGAGCTGAGTCATTCGGTGAAGGTGCAGATGACACGCAATCTCATTTGCAGAGATGAGATACTCGGGCCACTAAACCATTTACCCTCGACCTCCATGCTGGGCCGCGAAAATCTTTCCATCAACTAGTAACATAGAGCAGTCTAATTGAATCCATCCATGCAATTCTTTTCCAGGTTGCTGTCGCCAGTGGGAAGCAACAAGCACCTGATGCCTTTTTGATTCGGTTTACAAAATGGCAATTTGTTTTACATGACATTGGCGGATTGGAGCCTGAAAGCCAAACATTAGAATATGTATCAGAGTGACAAACCCCAAGCAATGCTCCCGCTGTGAGTTTTTACCTTGTCGAGCGCAGCCTGCACAACAGTCTCACTCTCGGCGTCAAGGGCGGATGTTGCTTCGTCCAGCAGAAGGATTTTGGGGTTACGTACGAGCGCTCGAGCGATTGCAATTCTCTGCTTCTGTCCTCCGCTCATCTGAGTCCCTCGGTCCCCAACCAGCGTTTCGAACTTCTGCTCGATAACAACGCTCTCATCATTGGCAAGAAAAAAAAAAATTAAAATTCAGGTGAAGTCGTGAATGAAGTCATACTTCGGGAAGGTTCATGATGAAGTCGTAAGCGTTGGCCTCCTTGGCAGCTTGCTCAATCTCGTTCTGCGTCACATCGGTTCGGCCGTATCGGATGTTTTCAGCGATGGTGGTGGCAAAAAGGACGGGCTCTTGACTCACCACGCCAATCATTTTTCGCAAGTAGCAAATATTGAGAGAACGGATGTCATGGCCGTCAATAGATACCTACAAAGAGGGAAACAATGGGATTCTTAAATGTTCTTCGTTGTGTTGAAAGAATAAAGGAGGCTTGGATGCTTTGGTGATTCAGCGGAATTGCATTGATGTGACTTGATTCAACTTTCCAGTGAAAGGGTTTAGAAATGTGTACGTACGGATCCCTGCTGGGGATCGTAGAACCTCTGCAACAGCTGGATGGTGGTGCTTTTCCCGCAGCCGCTGCTTCCCACTAAGGCAATGGTCTGCCCACTCTTCACACTCAGGGACATGTGGTTTAATACCTGCAAGTGATGACCATTATGGAAAGGAGTACGAATATGTAGCCGGGTTTAGATGTTGGATGAAGTTGAACAGTGTCAGTGAGGAGGCTTACTTTAACTTCTGGCCTAGAGGGGTAGTTAAAGTGGATGTTCTTGAACTCGATATTTCCACTGATCGAGTCAGGCTTGAAGCCGCTCTCTGAATAGCTGTCAATGCTCGGTATCTGTGGAGTCAAATGTTTCATTTAGTTTTGAGCTCCATTGCGGTTGGAAGTTTGGCCACGGCGGGTTCAAGGACCTGATGCTTATCAAAGGCTAAATAGACAATGTAAGGAAGACTGTCTGCTCTGCAGGTTGAACAGAGAATTTTGAACAAAGCTGGTGTTTATTTGCACAGCTCGCCGCTTTGCTCGGGATATGTCCACATAAACAAGCTCATTGTTGTCGGAGGTTGTTTTCAGTTTCGAAGCATTGTTTGAAGAGAAGAGAGACTACCTTATGGTTCAAAATGAATTGGCCACCGAGTTAAATTCATTTGTTAACTGGCAAGTGTTTGAAGCGTGTTGGTTACAAACAAGCTACTTTGCTGAATGGTGATCGCGCTAATTTGAGTGAATACTGTATGCTGAAGTCAGACGAGAGGTCGATTTAGTCATTGTCGATCACACAAAACTGCAGTCAAACAGTGGGTGCTCCAATTAGAGCAAATTCCAACCACTCATTAGCGCCTGCAGATTGTCGGCTGTATCAAAGCTACATCCTGGCGCGCCAGAATACACTTGCGCTTGCACTAATATAAACTGACAGCAGCCCGGCATCAGAAAATGCGGTCTCTCCGAATGTGAAGGAAGGAGGAAATATAGATTTCCTTACATTGTCAATAATGCCGTAAACTTTGTGAGCGGCTCCTCGGGCACTGGAAAAGGACTGGATGTTAGGTGAGGTCTGCCCCAAGGCGAACGCTCCGATGAGCACTGCAAATAAAACCTGAAGACACGAATAGTCCTCATCAGGTCCAGATTTCTATTTGGCGGTTCTTCGGAATGTTTAACATTTGAGGTCTTCATGACTCGACTCACCGTAAGCACAATGCCGATGGAGTACTCCCCACTCAAAATGAGCGTGCTTCCATACCAGAAAGCCAGAGCATAAGACAGGTAGATCAATAAGAAGGTGAAACCCATGGCGATGTTTGAGCTTATCGCCTTTTTTATTCCCACATTCTTGGCATCCTCCAAGTTCTTATGATACCTGTGAGATAAAGTATTGACAAAAGAAATCTTGAAATGCAGACGCATAATCTTTGTCGTGGTCAACAACTAGAAAATACTAATCTGGTTTGGGGGGTTTCAGACGATCCAAATTCTATTCTCGAATTTGCTTCATTGTTTGGCTACAAGAGCCTTCCTTCCACATTGATTGCATTACTTTTGGGGTGCACATTCGAAGCCACTGCCTTAACATAGATGAACTGCAGATGTTTGCTCCACCGACAACTTGCTCGTGTGGAGCTTTACCCATCTCTGACCGTTTAATGAAAACTGATAATTGCACAAACCTCTCAATCTCTCTCTGTTGACCACTGAAGGCAAACACAGTCCTGATGGCGGAAAGCACCTCCTCTGCCACAGCACCTGCTTTGGCATAAGCAGTCTGTTCTCTCGTAGTGAATGATGCTAGCACCTAGCAAGAGCCCGACAGTATGAGCTCAGCAACAAGAGGCTTGCTTTCAAGATTAAGGCTGGACAAAAAAAGGCAAGTTTACCTTACTGAAGAGTCCAGCCATGACACCTAACAAAGGGCTAACGGCCAAGATGACAAGGGTGAGCTTCCATCCTTTGCTTAAACCGATGACAACAGATGTGATGAAAGTGGCGGAGGACTGGATCAACATAGCCACCTTGTCACCAATCCCCTCTTGGATCTTATAGACGTCGCTGTCCGTGCAGATACAAATGCCAATCGGTTATCTTGAGAGCGCTGTCACAATGGCATCTGTTTTACTTCAGACTAGCTTACTCCACTAAGCTTAATAGTAAGTAACATTGCAAAAATAAATCAATTAAGTGTCACCCTCCAAAGCATGTCAACGATCAGTTTTGGTTGACACGGTCAGAAAAAAATATTGGATGTCATTATTGTGAAGGTGTACCTCAGGGCGAGGCAAGTGAGTGTTACTAACTCTGTCAAACGGGTGTTGAGCTCTCCGGTCTCATTGATATCGAACCATCCGATGTCCTGTCGCATAATGCTGTGGAAAAAGCACTTTCGGATGCGTTTGACCTGTCGTCCGGCGGACAGTGTAAAAAAAGCAACCTGCATGTAGGCCGCCACCACCACAACAGCGCCTAGGATGGAGTAGTAGATGGCAAAGCTGGAATGAGATGGAAAGATTTTGAGAAATGATACGATTGAATTGAGGAGGGTTCATCTTCCACTTACCCGGTCATGTCTTCCTGTATTGTGCTGTTTGGAAAGGTGATATCTGAAAAAAAATAAAACAAAATGTTGGAATAGTCTGCCGTTACAGTCAGGCGGGCAACCGTTTCTGGGAACTCACTGGGGTTGCTGGTGTTGAGGTAACCTAATGCGGCATTTGATACGAGGCTGTCCGTCATATCCCCAAACACAACCAACATAAGAGGCAACACAACCCCGTGGACCATCGACATCACGGTCCCGAAGAACAGCAGCGCAATGTCTTTAGAATCTGCAAACCTGAACTAGGTAAAAAAAGAAAAAGAAAAAGGCTTATAGAAGGCAGAGATCACAATGGACTAAAGATGACATGCTGTCCAAGAACAATAAAGAAACAGAGAGACACAACTTACCAGTTGAATGGCACCAACCATGGGTAGCTTTTCTTTTTTTTCTTTCTTCTTTTTACCTTTCCCCGCCTCATCTTTAGGATCACTAAATAAAATAGGAAACCATCAATCGAATTGCTCTTTTCGGTTGTTTCAAATGTAAACCCAATGAACTATTTATCTTCAGCAAACAATAAGTCACAAAATATGACCTTAAATAAATGTCTTTGAGATTCTTCTCCAACTTATCCGTTTCGGCCATCTCCGGCTCCTGTCAGAGGAAGAAAGTGCGCAATCTGCTTATGTCGCTCGCAAAATGAGTCCATTGCGGAAATGAACGAAAGTGTAAACATCAGACCTTCACCGTAGTCCTACCACAAAGGGCACCGATGTTTGACAAGCTGGGTGATCACACACAGACATCCACCTCTCCAGCGCTGCGCTCGTCCTTCCACACCCTTGTCCAGCGCTCTAATGTTTGACAGAGATGGCGAGCTCACACGCACACGGACTCACACCTCGGCTAACGGAATGACCACCCCTTCCACGCCTCCTTTTCCTTCCTCGTCCATCCCTCTCACGTGGCTGTATTGCCTGTGTACAACAATAACCACACTTGCTCAGCTGCCCTCTGGACATTAAAAAAAAAAAAAAAAAAAGATTTTACAAATCACCATTTTGAACCTGGACAAGAGCCAGATTGACACGTGAATCACTCAAAGGAGTTGTGTCGCTGCAACTGTGGTGATTGGTTTTGCTGTTCGGTGCTTTCTACCATCTTTGTTACCAATTTGCTTTACTGTTTGTTGTAAATGTTAATTGCTCCATGTACAGCACTTTGTATGCAACGATGGCTGTTTGAAAGTGCTCTATAAATACAGTTGAGTTGAGTTGAGTGATGTTTGTGCTCTGAAGTGATGGTGTTATTTTGTTTTTCAACTCCACTTGAATTACGTTGTTAATGTTGTTTAACATTCTAAAACATTTTATATTGGCATCCTCACCCAATTGAGTCAATAAACGACCCACATCAGGAGTGTCGCACGGTGGCGGATGTGTGTTTTGACACTCAAACTTTTTTTTGTTGTTGTTGGTGAAATGGTTCAGCACCCAGACTTTTCCAGCTGTTATTCAATGTCACCCATTGTCTATCATATTTTTGCGGATTTGGTAGTGTTAATTATATTATTTGGCATTAAATATTTGGAAATTTACACCATTGTGGATGGAAGCGATGGAAGAGACCAGCAAGATGTTTACCCTGAATAACTACAATGAAGCTGCTATGCTATTTAATTCTATCACCCCCCCCCCACCCCCCAAAGTCTGATTATTTAAGACATACAATATCATTTGTACATCCATGTCCTGTCAGGCTACTTTAATCCTATGTTAATGGCTCACCAGCAGCAATAAAGTCCAAATGATTACATAACACAAAGGACAAAGGTAAAGTTGGATCAAAAGTGATAAAATGGAGAAGCGTGTGGTGTCTAACGAAGGACGTGCATGTGCACAACTTCTTAGCGAAGGTTATAAAACTACAGAATCGCCACATGGTGGCCAAAGGTACGGATTTTAATTTGTGGCCATTAAAACTTTTGACACTTCAACTCCATACTGCAAAAATGATGGCGAGGGAGACACATATTTTGCATTATTTTATAAAATAGTATTTACTGCGAATGGCTGTTTGTTTATGTAGTATGAGGCCTGCAATTGAGTAGCGACCAGTCTAGGGTGTAGACTGGTGGGAGAGTCTCGAGCACAGGGTGTCTCAGTGAAAAGCATAGAAGATGAACAGTCAACAAGTATTTTTGACAAATCTCCATCATGTTCATATATATATATATATATATATATATATATATATATATATATATGGGGAGAAAGAGAGAGAGAGAGAGACTTTGGTTTATGGCATCAAATGGTGTCCAAATTATAACCTGGGGGCCATATATGGCCCCTTGCCCATTACTGTATCTGCAACATAGATTAAAAATAACATTTGACAGGGCCCACATGATCGGGAGGGGGCAGCATTCAAGCGGCCAAGTTGGTTGTTAGAGATATACAGCGGATACAGCCATCCATCTCCTGAATGATTAATTTTGCACATAAGATAAGATAAGATATCCTTTATTTGCCTAGACATGTTGATTTATCTATGAAAATTTAGTCTATTATGAAAAACTAGGCGCCTAAAAATCTAAAAGCAAAATAACGCGATTGGTGGGTTATGAAAAGGTTTGTTTGTTTTCCAAGCAGCCACCAATATGTCTTGGAAGAACAATGGTGTTCTTGTTTAGTAGAGATAATGATATGCATCCCTACCTGTCGTTCGCCCCCCTCCCCTCCCCTTGATAAAGTCCAACTATCCATCCATCCATTTTCTGAACCATTTTATCCATACGACGGTCGCGGGCGTGCTGGAGCCTATCTCAGCTGTCTTCCGGCAGTAGGAGGGATACACCCTGAATTGGTTGCCAGCAGACGTCATAATACAGTATAAGGGAACAAACTTACAAGGTTAAAAGTAAGGTATTGGAAATAACTTTAAAAAATAAGAAAGCATCTGAATCACGATCAGTCGGCGGCGATCGACGGTTTCAGTTGACCCGCGGACTAATACTGTAGTCATTAACGTCTCCTTCTGCGCGATTATCTATGCGTATATACTGTTCTTCGTTTCAGCATTGTTCCGATGTACGTACAAATTCAGGCTACGTCTCCCTTACGCCGAAACTTGTAAAAGGAGGACCTCGGGAACTTTTGGCATGATAGAGGTGTTAAATTTTATTAGGTGGCTTATTAACATTCAGTGTGCATTTTGCGGTCCCTTTAATAATTTCTGTTATGTGAGACGATACATTAGCTTCTAACGGGTGTCGCACCACTTACTCATCGTCTTCAATCGTTTGAACCGCATTAAAAAACAAAAACACTCAAAACTCGGCTCAGGCATTCTCGGAATTGGCCGTAGGTACAAGATTGCCAATCACAGTCATACTTATTAAAATAAGGAGCGCATCTCATTTACATCAAATATGTCTTTAGGTTTTACGTGAAAGATTTGTGCTCTTCATAATAAAGCGACGAGGAGGGAAAAAAACGTCGATGTTCATTGAAATTGTATTCACAAACGCTGAAGACAAGATAGTTATTCGTTCTGAGTGTAAAAATCTTCTCGCGTTGTGTTGTCAGGTTGGAGGAAATGGACAAATCGCAACTTACGCCACGGAGCTTGGATATCGAAAGTACAGTACTAACTGGAAACGGCGTCGTTCCCCGTTGAATCTAACTTGATTCTACTTCCGGTTCCAGCCCCTTCCATCCACACGCACTATGACAGAGTCAATACTAATGTCGCTCCTCGGCTGACCGCGGCAGGCAGGCTGGCCTCGTGCCGGAGATGGCGTCCCTCGGCGCGGGGCTGTACTTAAGCCGCAAGCGGGCTGCGGACAGGAGCGCGGCGGTGGAAAGGAGGAACCTACTCACCGTGTGCCGGTAGGTAGCCATCGTGACCATTCTCCTCGACCTCGTAATCACCACCACCATCATCATCGTGTTGCAATATCAAGACACCTCAACTTGACACCTTGCTTCCATCAACATTACAACTATTGTGATGTCTCTAAACACAGCTTGGGTTTCAAGCTACAAGGCATGCAGTTTAATATTTCATTGTGTGGCAGCGCTCCCATTCAATGCGTTGAAATAAACTAACTTCCTCTGACACATCATCTTGGCCTAGCGGTTCGAATCGGCTCTGGCCTTCCTGTGTGGCGATTGCATGTTCACGCCAGATGTGTTGTTTTCTCCAGGTGCTTTGACTTCCTTCCCTTAGGTATGACTGTGAGTGTGGGATTGGCTGACAACCATTCCAGTGTGTATCCCACCTTTCTCCCAAAGTAAAATGGAATATGGAATGGGAATGATGAGTAACAGTTGTGACTGCAAGTATTAAGAACTTTAATATAAAGTCCAATTGAACTGAAACAAAGCACAATTACTCATGCCCAATTGTCACGGACCGGAAAGTGGTACTGTCACCAATTGGTGATTTATAAATATCTCTTGAATTAATCATTTTGGTGTTGTATAGATCACGGTTAGAATATATGTGCCTTGTGATCATTCCAGAGTGTACCCTGCCTCTTTCCTAAAATTAGCTTGGTCAAAGGTTGTAACCTAACAGCGAACCTTTGACCCTAACGCTGCCATGAATGTTATTGGCCATCCACTAACCGATGCTATATCAACTTCACTCATTTTAATCCAGGTTATCGGCATGTAAGAGGAGTATAACAATAATACACATAGAAGGAAACTCCATAGAATTTCACGCAAGTAGTCACTTAATATTTTTATTTATGTGCTGGTGGCCTCAGTGGAAATTAAATGACGTGAATGTGTTTTTGTGCATTGTAAACACTGTTGCTATGGAGCACAAGAGAGGGAGTCAGATCATTTGTAAAAGGTCTACAAACAACTTGGGTGCACACAAGCGCGCACACACAAACATGCACACGAACACACATACGAAATGCAGCCAAATCCATTAACTCTCCCCCCTGCCTAATTAGGCGCAATCTGATGAGACAGATTAGGCTCATTGCAACTGGGGAGGACAGATACCAGCTGTGTTAGTGAGAGGAAAGTCAGCTTCTATCCGTTTTCTACAGTGCTCTTCTTCATGAGGGTCACAGGCGAGCCAGAGCCGTTGTCATCTTACTTTGGGAGAAAGACAAAGTACAGTCAATCCTGGGGGACGTAGAAGAGTGACAAACAAGCATTAGCATTCTCACTCACATTCACACCTATGGGCAATGACAGCCAAGTGTGAATCTTCATTCAAAGGAAGGTTTATGTGACTGGTTAAAATCTGTTTTGTCTGATGCCTTGTTAATACTTTGCCTCAGGTTTTCAGTGAAGACTCTATTGGACCGATCCTGTTTCGACAGCATGGACGACTCGTCTGCAGAGTTGGTCAATTTTGTGTCCATCCTGGAGCATATCCTCAACCATAGACTGAAAGGTTAAACTAGTAATAATAATAACACACGCAAATTATGACTCGACAAAGTGTTAGCACGTTTCTACAAACATTCCCGTCCTGTATGTTCTTCTCTCAGGTCAGACAACGTGGTTTGGCTACGAGTCTCCTCGGAGTTTCTGGGATTTTGTCAAAGCCGCCAGCAGTAAAGTCCCTCATAATTGCATTCGAAGCATTGAGAGTATGGAGAATGTGCGGTCAACCAAAGCTAAGGTGACACTCAAATTTGAGCCCAAAAGGGCCCATAATAAGGCATTTTTCACCTACTTTGCATTATCCACTTAGAAGCAAATAGAAAGATCAGCCAGGAATGCTTGGCTAGGAACATGACCCAGTTTCACTCGATAAAACAAGCAATAGATGCAATGCCGGTTCGCTAACTCTCTGGAGTTTGTCCTCACGGGTGACGTCTCTCAGTCATATTGGCCTGCCAAAACCAGCACTGGCTCTGGTTTAAAACAATATTTAATGAAATTCCTAATTATATATGTAGACCTACCTTTTGATGAAATCGTGTAGCATGTTGTCTCAGTGGCTAAAAATGTGAGTAAGTTCGGACAATCAAACCACCCACCTAAAAAATATCCAACGCTCCATTCTCCATATACAATAGATAATGCGCTTTCAAGCAATAACTAACTTCATTCATAATTTTGAATGTCTGTCTATCATTGGATTAAGTTGAGAGTCGTTTATGTCGTCTGAGTGGCCAAAATGCACGAGTATATAGCATCAGTGGGTGATCAAGGCAGCCGCTTAAAAACATATATCCACCAACTCCACACACCAGTCTGTAGATATTGGGATTTAAAACAATAGTTAACAAAATGTATCATTTTTTCACAACAAGGAAACGACATATATTGTGAATGAGATAGTGTAAAGTGTGTCAACTTGGTGGCGAAAATGCCCGCGTGTATGCAGTGCACAAAAATGATTGAGCCGGTTCTGTTGATTAAACTCAAAATAATGAATATTAGATCTTTAAAATGCAAGAATTAATTGGTGTGATCATTTGTTCTTAGCATTTGTACTGGTGGCTCAGTCGGACCAGCATCAGTGAACTTTGGTTGGGCCCCGAGTCATATGGTGGCCATCGGGCCACTGGTAAAGCGTGAAACTAATTATTCAAATCTTTGGCCAAAACGTGTTCAGATGCAATTGCCAAGAATAAAATAATGATCAAATGTTATCTTTCTTTTTTTTTTCTTTTTTTTTTTTGTCTCAATAGGGTCGAGCTTGGATCCGAGTAGTTCTAATGGAGAAAAGACTGTCTGAATACATCTCATCCGCTCTGAGGGACCATAGAACTACCAGGTTTGCGTGTGTAACTTGCGCACTCACAGTGCACAATTATGCACTGGATGCTACATGAGGTAACCCTGCACAATCAAGCCTGAGTTAAAAAAAAAAACTCAGCTTTTACAAAAATAAGCACTGTCTCAACGGCATTGTCTTCACACTGTTTTTGATTTTGCCAAGTGTGAATCTTCATTCAAAGGAAGGTTTATGTGACTGGTTAAAATCTGTTTTGTCTGATGCCTTGTTAATACTTTGCCTCAGGTTTTCAGTGAAGACTCTATTGGACCGATCCTGTTTCGACAGCATGGACGACTCGTCTGCAGAGTTGGTCAATTTTGTGTCCATCCTGGAGCATATCCTCAACCATAGACTGAAAGGTTAAACTAGTAATAATAATAACACACGCAAATTATGACTCGACAAAGTGTTAGCACGTTTCTACAAACATTCCCGTCCTGTATGTTCTTCTCTCAGGTCAGACAACGTGGTTTGGCTACGAGTCTCCTCGGAGTTTCTGGGATTTTGTCAAAGCCGCCAGCAGTAAAGTCCCTCATAATTGCATTCGAAGCATTGAGAGTATGGAGAATGTGCGGTCAACCAAAGCTAAGGTGACACTCAAATTTGAGCCCAAAAGGGCCCATAATAAGGCATTTTTCACCTACTTTGCATTATCCACTTAGAAGCAAATAGAAAGATCAGCCAGGAATGCTTGGCTAGGAACATGACCCAGTTTCACTCGATAAAACAAGCAATAGATGCAATGCCGGTTCGCTAACTCTCTGGAGTTTGTCCTCACGGGTGACGTCTCTCAGTCATATTGGCCTGCCAAAACCAGCACTGGCTCTGGTTTAAAACAATATTTAATGAAATTCCTAATTATATATGTAGACCTACCTTTTGATGAAATCGTGTAGCATGTTGTCTCAGTGGCTAAAAATGTGAGTAAGTTCGGACAATCAAACCACCCACCTAAAAAATATCCAACGCTCCATTCTCCATATACAATAGATAATGCGCTTTCAAGCAATAACTAACTTCATTCATAATTTTGAATGTCTGTCTATCATTGGATTAAGTTGAGAGTCGTTTATGTCGTCTGAGTGGCCAAAATGCACGAGTATATAGCATCAGTGGGTGATCAAGGCAGCCGCTTAAAAACATATATCCACCAACTCCACACACCAGTCTGTAGATATTGGGATTTAAAACAATAGTTAACAAAATGTATCATTTTTTCACAACAAGGAAACGACATATATTGTGAATGAGATAGTGTAAAGTGTGTCAACTTGGTGGCGAAAATGCCCGCGTGTATGCAGCGCACAAAAATGATTGATCCGGTTCTGTTGATTAAACTCAAAATAATGAATATTAGATCTTTAAAATGCAAGAATTAATTGGTGTGATCATTTGTTCTTAGCATTTGTACTGGTGGCTCAGTCGGACCAGCATCAGTGAACTTTGGTTGGGCCCCGAGTCATATGGTGGCCATCGGGCCACTGGTAAAGCGTGAAACTAATTATTCAAATCTTTGGCCAAAACGTGTTCAGATGCAATTGCCAAGAATAAAATAATGATCAAATGTTATCTTTCTTTTTTTTTTCTTTTTTTTTTTTGTCTCAATAGGGTCGAGCTTGGATCCGAGTAGTTCTAATGGAGAAAAGACTGTCTGAATACATCTCATCCGCTCTGAGGGACCATAGAACTACCAGGTTTGCGTGTGTAACTTGCGCACTCACAGTGCACAATTATGCACTGGATGCTACATGAGGTAACCCTGCACAATCAAGCCTGAGTTAAAAAAAAAAACTCAGCTTTTACAAAAATAAGCACTGTCTCAACGGCATTGTCTTCACACTGTTTTTGATTTTGATTACAGTTTAGCCTGTGTAGACCTAGCTCTCTGAATATTATTTAAAAAAAAAAAAAAAAAAAGGAATTCAGCTCTCGTGTTGGATCTCATGTTGTGCAAGTATACCTAATGTTGTGTGCGGACAATCCGTGTTGCACAGATTTCAACCCACTCAAAGCAATCAGCTCAGTTTATGCTGTCAGAAATGAGCAGCAATAATGTGAGCAAACGTGACTGCAGGAGGTTTTATGAGGATGGGGCGATCATGCTGGGAGAGGAGGCGGGGCTTCTGGCGGACACGCTCATTGGACTCAACACCATCGACTTCAGGTACTGACGCTGTTCTGCTTCATGTCTTTAGTCTTGTCGAATAGATTAGATGACAGGGACCAAAACAAAACAGGTGTTAGGTCGCTCAACCTGTTGCCTTAAGTGGGGTACACATCTACCGATTTTAAACGTCTTCCCTGATTTTTAAATTGAGAGAGACCCTACACACGACGGGAAAGTACTGTAGACAAGACAGTGGGAGGAGAAGTGGCAGTAAAACAGGCCCAAATTCAGCTGTCAGGGGGTTAAGTAGGGCAAGAGACTAGTTGCATACTAACCCACCCCCATCCTGTCTCATCTCCCAAGCTTCTGTCTGAAAGGCGAAGGTCTAGACATCGGTGACCTCTCAGTCATCGACTACACACCTTACTTAAAGTTCACTCAGAGGTACGTCAATTGTTGGCAGTGCACAATGTTGCCAGATGTTTGCTGACCGGGTGGCGGGCATTGCTCCCTCTGTTGCAGCGGCGACAGCATCAGCAGCGACGAGGAGGAGATGCGCACCCTGGGCAGCACCGGCAGCGAGCACAGCACCCCGGACAAGATGGCCACGGCTGCCTCCATCTTCACCGAGCAGAGCAACTTGGTCAGCAAGTGCAAGCGCTTTGAGCAGAAATATCGCATGGCGTTGGAGCAGAAGGTGTGCTTGAGCATCGATTAGAAAAATACGTGAAAGGTGTATGTCTATGCAGTTTGGCATTATATGATGAATGCTGCGAGAAGGAAATGCCTGGAAACAATACTTTTTAAGAATGTTTTTCCCCCAGCAAAAAATTGCAAATACTTTGACCCCCTTGCACGTTTCATAATTGGCGGCAAAGCACAACTTTTGTTTAAATGAAACTCCTCAACTCATTTCAACATATTCCTTGGCCACAAGATGGCATTTTGTAGCGAATAGCAGACACCCCCCCCCCAAAAAAAATGACATAAGCATGACTCAGTCCTGACTGTTTGTTATTAGAATTTGGTACAAAAAATGTCCCTTTCTCTGCATTTACTTTAGATAGACAGGTAACAGGCAGGTAAAGCCTAATTGCTTCTGTCTTGTTTTTGTGTCAGGGTTACCTGGAAGAGCTGGTGCGGCTGCGCGAGACGCAGCTGGCAGAGGCGTCGTCACACCACAAAGCTCTTGAGCAGAGCCTCGTGGACACACACCTGTCACACTCGCTGGAGAAGGAGCAGCTGGAATTTATCATTTTGGAGCTGCAGGATCAACTGTGAGTGTGTGGAGGTGGACAGGCCTCTGGGTAATGTGCTGTCTGCTTTCAGTTTGCCATTTAAGACACCGCACAGGTGTGCATGCGTACGTACGTGTGTGTTTGCAAGTGTGCATACGCGTGAGTGTCCACGTTTCCAAGTTCAGACTGCTGATTTATCAAAAAGATGTCCTTCTCTTGAGTGACAACTAATTCAATGTAGGATCCTAAATCCCTCACGTGGTGCTGAAGCAGCGCCCTCACTGTGATTAAATGCACATGAAGTCACATTAGCTGTAATGTAATAGGGCTCAAGGGAGGATGTGTGCAAGTCAAAGATGAACAGGCTTAACCTACTCGATGTAAGAATAATGCTGGCACATTCTGATGTAGACCGTGACTTCAAATTTTATAAATGTTGAGGACGCCTAACACATTTGAAAGTTAAAACTTGACATAATTTTTCAAACTATTCCTTTTTTGGCCGCAATCTTGTTTCGAATGGTATGTACAACTACTGTGCATTGTAATTATGATGACCTTATTTTAGCTACAGGAGCGGGCAAAATATTAGAAATGGCTCAAAATATGGCACACTAAAGTTAGACGAACACTGCTTCATGGTGTCAGTCAAAGTCTAACTGCTTTGTTGAATAATTTGTGTCTGATGTGTTCAGGACCGTGTTGAAGAACAATGACTTGCGGTCTCGACAGGAGCTGACAGCCCACCTGACCAATCAGTGGCCGTCTCCCGACGCTTTGGACGCTAACGGCGTTGCCTTGGATACGCTGCTGTACAGGAAGAGCCCCGGACAGTGGGAGGAGTATGTCAAGGGATTTTTGTATTACTAGATTATGATGCGGGCTGAACAATTAAAAAAAATAATAATTTAGTTTTCAAAACATTCAGCCCTACCTGATGGTTTCTTGTGATTGTTTAATATTGTACTGTGGAACCTTCAAAGCTGGCTGACCGAGTAGTTCTAATTTCAAATTTTTCAAATTTCTTGCTGTTTCAGATTTAAAAATCCAAACAAAATACACCATAATGAGAAATAACTGTCCACCAAAATTAAAATAAAGTACCGGTAATGTAAGCTGAGTGTACACAGTGAAACTCCACAGTTCAGCAGTCACCCAGATTTTGGGGAGGACCTATCCCCATCATGTGCCAAAAAACTCACCTATGTTGAGTGTTTCTCTAATTTGAAAACATTACTTTGGCACCATTAGGTGGTATCTTTGTGCCAAGCAGTTACGTTAAACCGATGGACGGAGCTTCCTCAAAATAGTGATTTGCTGCCATCTTGTGACATCTATAGGCAATTACAAACATTTAGGGTAGTCGGTTTCACTATGAGCAATCAGTTTGCTACTTTCAAAACATTGCATGTATTGTATGATTGATAAATGTCCTACCATGGAACAGCTCAAGTCACTTATCATAATTTCTTTGGAAAAAATATTACAATTATTTTTATTTAAATCCAATGATGACTTTGAAGTAAACCAGTGTCCCGGAGGCAGAAATGTGTCCCACTTCAGAACTTGAAACCATATTTTATCCATAAGGCCCGGCGTGAAGTGCAGAATTATGTTGCTCAAAGCAGCGAAAAGAGATCTGAGTTGATAAATGTTTGGTATTTTCATTTAATTTCCTCAGTGACTGATATATTGTGCAATATTTTGTTTGTTATGCAGCAAGAGTCTCCGCAATCTACCTCCAGACATGAGCCTATCACAGATGTCCCTCGAACCATCACACATGCTAACGCTGGAGGCTAAACCGCACTGGCCCCGCCAAGGTACACATCACAAACCTTGCCAGTAAGGTCTTCAATGCTGGCCGAAACATTATCAGAAGCACTGAACTACTTTTACAAAATAAATTCTCATTTATTACATGAAATTGGATTACTCTATTCCCAGCCGTCTGTTCTCTTCATTTCAGTCTTTCTCTTGGCTGCACTGCTTTCATTGCACATTTGGGATTTTTTTTTTTTTTTGCGTCCTATCATCTTTAAGCCTTTTTTTTTTTGTTACTATGTCAATCTCATCTGCCCAGGGCCTTCAGAATCAGTAGTGCTGTCCGATGTAAACGATATTAGCAATGGAACTGTTTTCAAACAATCAGACAGTTACCCGGCTCACAATAATGTTCGTATTTTCCCATTCTCCGATGGGTTTCTTTTTGCAATGCAGGAAAAGAGCAGACGCCATCCCTCCGAGGACTGTGCGGCTCTCTCACCTCCGTCAACAGTTTCAGGTCTCTGGCCAGTTTGAGGTCTAACGAATGTCTGGCCAGTCCCGCCGCTGAGGTCAGCAGCCCAGGCTTATCCCCCACATAAGGCTACAACTCAAGCCAGCCATCTTCTCTGCGTGCTATTACGTTGCTCTTTGTAGAGATGTATGTTCTCATTGTGCCGACAATGACATGTTTTCACATGCTGTTGGAATGAGCTCAACCGCCTGAAGCACACTCTGACATGATATAAATTTACCGTGAATGGTTTGTATTGAAAGACCTATTTCACGTGCCATCATTGGAAAAGTCGGGCTCGTCGTCGTCACCAGTTGTTTCTGGAGGATCATCGTATGTCCACTTTTCCCATTTATTACCGTATCAGTTTTAACATCTTTGTTTCTCAGGAGTTTTTGTGCCTTGGTTTTCATTATCGTGCACAGTGCCGTATTTCGTTCTCAGGTCATGACCACTATGATTGATAAGCAGCCCTCGGATTAATCCGACGTTTTCCCTTTATTTAGGTTTAGGTTGCAATGCAGTCATTCAATTTGGCTTGTTGTGATTGTGATTGAAAGTCTGGCATTCAGGCGGTGTACCTTAACTGTGCTGTTTGCTTTTAGTTTATGACATTTTTCACTTGCACACATACAAATATTTCCCGGCTTTTCATCCTTCATTTTGAATAAACTTTATTTGGGGAGAAATCAGATTTTGACACATTTCACAGTAAAAACATTTTTTTTAAAGCACTTCTTTCATGCACTTATTCTGTGGATTTAAATGCATACTCTGATCGCTGGCTGAGAGACAAATTCCAACTGTAATCTGAGGTAATCCATTTGCTAAATCAACTATCATCTCTGTCGTGAAAAAAAAGATAGGGTTGGGCAACATAATCGATGACAGTTGTGTTGTTCATTAGACACGTCTTGAAGCAATTGAGGCAAAATTCTGTGCACAATTTGGCTACGCCAGTAGAGGTGCTGAAGTTATCTATCTGAAGAAGTCAATCGTAACATTAGCAACAGGAAATGGAGCTACATCTGTGCTCTGACTTCTCTATGCAAGATCCACCACTCTACTTCCTATACATCTTGTCCTCCTTGGGATGAGATTACTCAAACCAGTACAACACCAGTATGGAAACATGAGCTCTCAATAGTCTAGAGATTTTCCTATAGAAGTAAAAAAAAAAAAAATTAAAAACATGGATTTGGATTCACTATTTTGTGCACATGTAGTCAAATGGGATGGGCCCCAGGCAAAATATCAGGCACAGGCAAATGTTTTAAGAAAATATATCTGATACTCACAAATTGATTTTATTATACAGTGAACCCTTGTATATTCACGACTCCACGTTTGCAATTGTTTTTTTTCTTTGTTTTTTTTTTAAACTATCCTCACTCTTGGAATTTTCGCTATTGGAAAGATCTGTTTGCTGTTATTGTGCTCTGGCTACAGCAATAAAACGTTTGCTTTGGTGCCATCTGGTGGAACCTTGGGTAGTATTTTATTTATTTATTTTTTTCTGCGTTTGAGATTTTCTAGCAGTTACCAATAGCCCGTCAACTTGATCGTCACAGTTTGCTGGTAGTCCCTAACATCATGCGTAAATTTCAAAAGGTGAATTTGCTGACTTAACCCCGCTTGTCTGACGTGTTAGTGTACACGGGTTTGTCCATGATTGACGTCATGCCAGTCTGCATTAATATGCTATTACAGTAATGCCAGTATGCTAGCTCAAACTATGACTGAGTTTTATGTGTGCGTGGTTTGTTTGTGTTGAATAATTCATCTCCTTGAATGTCGTCGTTTATGTATCAATGATTCATGATAATGTACAGACAGAAAGTAGTGTGTTGATGCTTTATGATCCGCTCTGTTTTGAGTGTTTTGCCACAATGTTGTAGCATCTGTATGAAATCAGAAAGGAAATTAGACAGGGGTGGGCAATTATTCACAGCAAAGCTCGGTCCCTTGACCTCCATGAATAGCCAGAGTTCACTACATTTCTTGTGCAAAAAGGATTGAATCATCATGGAATATTAAATCATAAATACTATCAGAATATACTTTTAATAATTTCTCAGCTCTGCTTTTTCAAGCCTGGCGTTGGGAGGGCGCAGATTCATCATATTTCAGGTGTCACTGGTGTGCAGAGGTCCAAGTTCCCGATCCCGGTTGTGCTTACGGAAAAAATCCTTCCCCAGCTCGTAGCTGCTGATCATGATGGCGCAGGCCGGCGCCACTTTGATGACCCGAGGTAAGAAACCTGGCCAGGAGAAAAGCGGGTAAGAATACAATGTTTTGAATGACAAAATATTGGCCAAATTGAATACAAACCTGCAAACAAGCCTTTAATGCCATGCTGGGTTACAATCTTCTTCATCACAGTGATGGTGGAAGAGGCCTTGTGCGATACTGTCGACGCGGAAACAACTAGATGAGTGACATCGAATATGATTCCCATTCAAAAGCAAAACATTATACTGAGGCCACATTTACAATTCATTGCTTGCAGCTCCCCAAGTTCCACCTGCCTTCTCGTTTTGACCACGTCAAACGGCAACGTTAGGATGGACGCAATCTGAAAAAAAAAAAACATGAAAAATAAAAATAAAATAAAATCCAACTGCATCTCGATAAATTCAAACGTTTTATTAAAATTAAAATTCTGTACATTCATAAATGCATAGATTTTATAGCTTTAATTCAACATCCAATGCCTACCTTAAAAATCCAGACAATTAAAATTTTGATTATTTCTTATGTCACATATACAAGCACAGAACATGAACAGTACCGGTACTTTTCATTATGAAAACCAATATTGATAAGAACATCAGTGTGGTAACTAATAAGGAGTTAGAAGGCAACTAAACTCTTATTTAACTGCACTGCTGCGACCACATCGGGAAACAGGATAAATGAGTGAGCTTCACGCGTACGGTTCCGTCCATCGCACTCACCGTTCCAGACGTGGCGCCGGACACGAAGGTCATGGCAAAAGTGGGCTCCTTGGTGCCGTAGCGCTGGCACAGCCACTGCTTGCCACGCTCGTAGTTGTACCAGTACATGGCGGAGAAGGGCACGTCCCGGAGCAGCGTGGGCCCCAGGCCTCGCCACAGCGACAGCCAACCTTCCGCCCCCACAGCCCTGCGTACGCAGGTTCCAAGCTGCCGATACGACAATTTCTCTGACTGCAACTTGGTGCGCAGAAGCTCGATAGGGCTGATCACAGAGGCCGCGCCCACTGGTGGATGTAGAGAAGGCATTTACGGGATGACAAATACAGTGGAACCACTAAAGTTCACTGTAAAGTTGTGTGATTTAGAATTTTTGGTGACAGTGTTGTATTCACGACCGATAAACCTTTTGGAGTTTAGGCCAAGACGTTCAATCTTGGTGTCACTGAACCAGAACAATATATCCTCAACGTGTGGTGAAATGTGTGTGCTGACTCCCATTTAACATGAGCCCGAATGTGATTGGTTCATTCTGAACACAACCAAATCCCAGTTGTGAGGGTGTACATCGTGCACACTTATTTCCGTTGTTTATTTTTTTACTTCACCTCTCGAAAATATACTTTTTTTTCAATTGAGTTGTACGGTTATAGGGGGGGGGGGTCATTTGTCTTTTTTTAGATCACAAATAGCTGGCATTTGACAGGTGTGTGGACTTTATAACGATTTGAATGATTTACTGAAACACGTATCTTTTTTGTTGTTAATTTTGAAGGTTATATCATACAGGAAACAAAAAAAAAAACAATTCCACCACTTCAATACGTTCCAATAACAACAATCAAAAATTACTCAGAGAAAAGAGGAATGAATTGACCCTCTGAAAATTATTTGGTATAACCTTTCACTTTCGTTTAAAAAAAGTGGTGATGTGCGTAACACCAAAATCCAACAGGTGGGCTTTAAAACGAGTTTTTAAAAAATGGTTACAATGTCTCAGATATTGTTTTCAAATTCAAATCTATAGGGAAACAGGACTACAGTAAATGATCATTACAATATTATATTAAAATGGGTATTGTTGAGAATCCTATTATTGCTAACCATCCTTTGCTCCTTTGAAAGGCTCTGTATAAATCCAAGTTATAATCATAAATATAATGAATAAAAGTATCCAATCAAACCTCTGGCGACAGCCCCCGACACCATAGGGGCGAACTGCTCGTGCTGGCCCATCTTGACCTTCAGTCGCGCACGCAGCTGGTCATAACAGGTGAAGTAGATAACAGTCGCTGGCACGGCCATAATGCTGAAGCGGACAAAAAAAAAATAGCACAAATATGAATCCACTCAATAGGCTGAGATGTGCATGACACTGAGAATAAATGATGAGGTTCTCGCTCACAGGGTCGGCGGTAGACCGCTCCATAAGGACCCGAGTCCTTCAGTACGTACGATCTTGACGAATGCGTCCTGCCGCAACACACAAGATTATAATCTGAACATGACATTTATGTGTCACAATGGGATTTGTATTTACCGCTGTGCCATTGAAGTGTCCTGGCGCTTTATACCAGGCCTTGTTGCCGTTCATACACACGCAAATGTGGTCCATAAGGCCGTTGCAATAGACAAAGCATTTTCCTAAGCATTGTGAGAAAAACACATTAGCACATTAGGGTGACGTGTTACACAAAAACAAAAATAATTGTTTGGCGAAATATAGTTCACCTTTCGGGAAAGGATTTTTCTGTGCTTGAAGTCTGATCTTCACAACATCTAAAGGTGTCACTGGGGAAATCATGACGAGTGTAAATGCAACATCCACACATCCATTTCCTACACCTGGGAGGGTCAACTAGCGTCATGTGGGCTACGTGAGGACCACGCCCACACGCCCAAGTGTTCCCACTCATTTAATTCAACGCCCCTTCCCAATATATATATATATATTCCAAAAAACTTTTGGGTGGCAAAAATATGAATATATTCCTCTTGTTTAGGTTGCAATGTCACCATCAACCACTAGGTGGCAGACATCGCTAATAAGCACTTATACCTGGTCTTATGCTGCTTTGTACTGTAAGTCAGATGAATCATTTTACAATTTTGAAAACCATGCAGGACAAACCTAGTACCTGAATAGATTACAATTTTGAGTGAGGTGATTTTCGTGGGGAACAAATGCATAAAACAGTTATTGCAGTTAATGTTTTGCTGTTCAGTAGTTTTCTGCTATCCTTGAATAGTATTTTTTATGCACAAGATCCCTTTGCACTGAAAAAAAAAACCCAGAACAGGCATGAGGTTATTTTTCATTCCTCCCTTGCTTCTTTCAATCCTTCAACCCTCCTAGTTAATTTAAAAAGTGTATTTTTTGCCCAACTAGTCATAAACTATATCACGTATTATTCGCCTAATTATGGTGTCAACCATGCGCTGACCACAAATTTCCACACTACCCAAAGTTAAATATCACCTAAGTCGAATGCAATGTAGTGAGTCTCGAGTGATAAAGGTGGTTTTTATTAATAGCAAAGACAACACAAAACAGCGCACGGCGTTAATGGACAGCCTCACCAAACAGAGAAGTGAGCAATGCTCCGGAGCAGGACGCCACCATCTGTTGGATTGGCGTAATGCCGTTATCTTTGGCCGTAGCAGAGGGACGTTGGCCACTCATGTTTCCTTGAACACACAACACAGGAGATGACGTTGAAGATCGACTTAAATTCATAAGGTGCTGTGGTCCCATAACCTAACTACGTAATGGAAATATTTATTTTTTAAGAATCGGTAATTACCCGTGGCTAACTGAAGCTAATAACAAGACGTTCCTACCTGCCAGAGCACTTTCAACAAATCCTTGTTTGCGTTAAAATAAACATCCCTTTGTGGCAAATAGGGCTGTCCTACAAGTTCCAAAAAGAGAGATTTTGTCCAAACACGTGTTCAACCTTACTGGTCAGGTAGTCACAACATTACATGACGAAACGTTTTATAACATTAGTTTTCGTTTTGCACATTCGCGAAATTGAAACTAAAATGCAGCGCAAAGCACAATTGCATACACAGCGCTCATGCCATTACGGATCGTAATTGTTGCTAGTTGGCATGTCTTTGATCAATAAAGATTTTTAAAATGTTTTATTTTATTTTAAATGTCGAATCATCACATTCGAATAGTACCACTAATATACCTATTTTCGTTGTTGCCAGATTTCCTTTACGTCAAACGCAACATTACTTGGTACATTGAAGACATCACATGGAAATATTGGACGAATGAAACGATAGTCATTTATCTACAAGAAGAGGTCAAAGAAAAACATGCGATGCTAAAAAACGGAAATTAAGCTAAAACTGAGTGGTTTGAAAGTGATCACGAGGCACCGAGTTCTCCGACATGGCAACTTGCCCGTTGTTACATTACATTGTTAAGCGGGAAATGAAAGTGCTGTTAAAACGCCGACGTAAAAATGTCCTTAACTTAAATTAACCAGACAATTACATATGCCAATGGTAGGTGTCACACTACGTAAATGTCGAAACACCGCAGCTAAGTTACTTAGTAACGCAGAATCTACCCGGCACGAAGTAGACTGTCGTAACGGCGAGTTCGTTATCACACGTACACGTTCTCCCTCCCCCAGTCGCATGGATTCCGTTACGGCTCGTAACGTAGTTTAACGACTGCTATGAGTGTTTACGCTCCTAGTTGTAAACCTCCCCATTTTGTATACAAACACGGTCAGCTGTCACATTAAGACGGTGGCTCCGGTATGTGGACGTACAGAGGGCGAACACGTGCATCTTGTTCGGCGAAAGAGAATAAAATGAAGGCGCAGGACACCCACACACAAACTGGAGCTGACTGGAAAGGTATTATTATTATTATATTATTATTATTATTATTATTATTGTTGTTGTAACTGAATTGCTCCTCCCATTACAGCCATTACTTGGACGAATAGGTTTAAAAAAAAATCACCTTTGGTGGATTTACGAGATTTGAACACTAACCTCACTTCACCTTGCCACTGTGTTGTCTTCCTAGGAAAAGCTGGCAAAAGTGGTGAGAAGAAGTCGCCAGTGAAGTCCCGTCTGGTACAGTTCAAGCCTTTATCTGGGAAAGTCTTCTATCTTGACCTGCCGTCCAACAAAACAGCAGAGTCTTTGGAGAGAGATATAAAAAACCTCGGAGGGGTGGGTCCTCAAGCAAGACTTTACTGCATTGCATTATATCTCGATTGTAGCATTCGGTGCGATGCTGAATTTTTGGCCTTGAAATAATGTAAGTGTCTGGATTCAGGTGGTGCCCGGTTTACCAAGGATTTCCTTTCCTATGGGAGCGATGTGGTGAAATTTGTACCTAAATCGGAATGTGTCACACTATCACTAACCTATACTAAGTCATAATAACAGAGGTACTTCTAGTTCTTGACCTTAAATCGAGAAGAATGAAAAACAAGTGTCTCTTTTTGTGTATTCTTAAACCTTGAAATGTCATAATTACAATATTTTAAAAATGTAAATGAGTCTTGGAAATAATCATGCCCTGGACAAATTATATGGGTTTCTAACTGGAATGGCATATGTTGTAAACCGAGTACCCACATATCTTTGTTGTGTAACTTGAATAAATAAGTGCCGCTGATTAAATTGACATCTCTTTATATACCCTCAACAAATAAAATAACAGGTTGTGCCATGAATATGTTACCATTAATGAAATCTCACAGTTGGATGTTTTTCCTTGTTGTCATCCCAGAGTGTTGACAAGTTCTTCAGCAAAGACATCAAGTATCTTGTATCCAACAAAAGGGAAACGAAATACATGCAATGCCTGAGACAAGACTCTCGGCCTGGCCTGCAATCCGGACAGATTTCACTTTGCTCCTCCTCATATCCACCCCAACCGGACTGCGGTAGCGACAACACCAAGAATAGGTCTCAGGGTCAAGCAGAAACGGTGAGCTCTCTTGGATTGCTTCTTTAGCACTGATATAGTTTTTATAAACTCATCCTTTCCTCCAATTTTTTTTCTTTTTTTTTTTTTTTAAATTTGTAGTTTCGCATAAGGCATCGAAGGTCTTTCGTAGAAAAAGCTGCGAAAGAAAAGGTTTGTTGGGCCTCTGCATTTAAATAGCATTCTTATAGTCTTGTGCTTTACTTTGCTGAGCAAAACTTTGTTTTTAGGACATTTTGCAGACCAGCAAAATTCTGTCAAAGGCTCTGGAGTGGGGTGTAAAAATCTTCTACGTTGACGGTGTGTTTGCATTACAGATCATTTATAAATATGTACAGGAGTACTGTATTGCATAAATTTTGTGGTGGAACCTCCAAATTTCCTCCTGGGAATTTTGGTTGAATTTCAAATTGTTCCATTTTTGGGCCATTTGACTTTGGAGCTCCCACTGTAATATTGTCCGAGTGTGCTTTTGTGCTGTACATGAGCTGTTAGATTTGTGCTTCATGTGCAGATGTGTTGGTGTATATTGAGATGAAAAAAAAGACCGTTGCAAGCCAGTGTCCAAACCTGACAGCAGCCAAACCACCTGTAAGTTTACGCAATCAACACTTCGTAACACTGTTCAGATCAACTTTTATACGTTTAATATTTTAGCATTTGTTCTTGCGTTCAATTTTTCCATTGTGAGGCAAATAAAGGTTTTCTTTCCTATCTTTTCTTAATGTATTGTAGGCCAAAGACGCATCGATAGCGGAATTCCCTTGTCAGAAATCCAAAGGTGAATGACGCGCGGTTGTTGTACTATTTTGACCACTCCTTTGACTTGTGTAAATATGTACTCAAAAGGGCGGATCCGTAAACCTTTCATCAAGGTCGAAGATTCAAGCAGGTTCGAGAAAGTCAAGTCAAGCATCCACTTAACTGTTTCCCTCTAAAATGCACATTTGAAACGTGTTGGCCACTTGGCCTTTTCTCTCCAGACATTACCGTCCAATATACGTCACGATGACAAGCATGCCCGAGTTGAACCTGAAGACGCTCGCTCCTCATTGTCCCTTCTTAGTTGATGCTAAAAAGCCTGCAGGGGCAAAACGGCGGGAGAACAGGTATGGCGGCTTGTTTTGATTTTTAAATGAGGATGACTAAAATGTAGTTGGTGTGGCTATATATGATCCTTTTATGGAATGTCAAGTTTTGAAATTCCTTTCAGTGATGATAAAAATGTGTTTTGTTTTTTGGTGCAAGTTATCACATTACAATATTGTGCAGCCCTAATACATATACATATGCATATGAGTCATTCCAGAACTGGAGGACATTTTGGCTTCAGAATTCTTGAAAAATAAACCTTCTCTTGTCTGATTTTCTGCCACATCATCATTTATTTCTTTACGGGAATTAAAGTATCGGTGACTCTGCCCTTTTTAAAAAAAATAGTCACCAGAGGGGTCTAAAAAGTCGCATCGTCGCGCATTACTGACTGTGCTTTTCGAAATTAGCTCTTTAGCTCCTCTTTGTTTGGAAGTACAAAGCAAGTAAAATTGATGAATCCCTCGAACCTAATGGTTTTTGTAATTTATCCCCGAAAAGTGCTAAAGTTTCAGCGTGTGAAGGACAAGCTGCTGGTCGAAAGAACAACAACGGCAAGAACGGAGACGGCTACTGCGAGTGCTGCATGGCCAAATATGGAAACTTGATGACAGTAAGTCTTGCACATCAATCACGACCTGTTCTGTTTAAAAAATGTTCACATGTGTGACTGCAATGCAAGTGTAAAAAGTAGTAAACCGCAGTTAATTAAGACAACAACATAAAACAACCAAGTATTCATTGTGTGTTTTCATCTTCTTTACGAGAAGGATACCAGCATTTGTGTCTATACTGTGTATGTATTTTTTGATATCAAAAACTGTAAAGACACAAAGCAGCACCAAAAAAAACAACAAATCCACACAGTCGAAAAGTGGTAGTTAAAGAATCATGTGTGAATGATGTCACTTTCCACCATGGAGTATGTATTCATTCTAAGCTTACTTTAAGGACCCATTTATGGAGTGTCCATTTCGGTATCAAACCAAATCGTCCAAGATTAAACTGGATAAGCTGTTGTTGTTTCTTTCCTTTTTTCCCCCACTTTCACTTTCATTCTGACAAGTTGCAAGGAATGTATTTCCCGTAACATCTACTACACAAAGCCATTTTGGATCAAATATTCAGACCTCTCTGAACAGTCTTGAGAGTTTGACCAAGTTCAATATACGCTGATTTTGAAAATCCTGTCTGAAGTCTCTGCGTATTTTCTGGTAACCTTACCGAGTTTCACTACTCATAAGTGATTATCTCAAGCAAAAAAAAAAAAAAGTGTAAATGACATCATAAAATTGGCCCCTGGGCATCGACTTTCATTCTAACGTTATCCTCAATCCTTGCCTCAACCGTATCCATGACACCCACTTTAATATCTGTCAACCTTCTTCTAACCATAACCCCAAAATAGAACTGATTTGTGCTTTATTTCATCCAGCACCTGCGAAGTGAACGTCACCAGGCTTTCTCCAAAAGCGATGCTTACAAAGTGTTGAACCAAGTGGTATCGCCCCTCGACTGCACCCGTTTCAACACATTTATGAAAAGGTAGCATTCCTTCAATGTTTTGCATTTCATTCAATACTGGATGCTGCCCAAACAGTTTCAATGTATTTGAAGTTTTCAAAACTTTCACCCCCCCCCCCTCCCCCCATCAGGCCCAGGTGCAGTGCTTCTTCTGTTCAACTTGACACTGGACCATTTGGGGGACTCAGTGTCAGAGCCACCGAGAATATTGAGGAGAAGCACCAGCCTGATAACTGCCCCAAGGAACCTTTTACTTTTCAAGTCACTTCCAGCCCTCAGTCTGCTCCTCTGCTTCACAGGGAAGACAAGACTTGTTGGACTGACTCCCACAGGTCAAAGCAAAGATCGATCTTGCGTAAACGGCCATGCAGACTCAATTTGTTCACTTCCTCCCCTCAAAAAGCCGCAGAGGAAACTGCACCTTCTTGCGGTGAAAGCATGGCCCTCGGGCCCCTATTAATTCCTCACGTCAACTTTGATGTGCAAGTACCTTATGCAGGCACACAAAGCCATCAGGAGCCGAGATGCGAGTCATATTTGGGAAGCCCCAGTGTTGTCACAAATCAACGAGAGGAGACTGACAGGAGCAAGAAACCACCTGGGAAAGTCAGTGGAAACATCTCAGAGCGAGATGGAGACCATCTTTTTTCACAGAGTTGCTTTCCAACAGGGACGGTTCAGAGGAAAGTCAGAGTTTATGAACGTCAACGATGGAAAATGGACGCTATGCGTCAAGAGCATGTCACGCAGAATGGCACTCGTGACAAATCTCCAAACGCTCTGGCAAATTTTTCGATCCACTGATAAAATGGGATGTGGAATTTCTGCAGATTGGATGACCAGAAGGGAACAATATCTTCCAAAGCAGTGGAAAATACAGACACGTTGCATGGAAAATGATGGAGGGAATGATGGCGTGGATGATTTAATCCTGCTCTTCCCAAAACATAAATCCCAAAACATATGTCTGTAGTACACAATAACTTTTTCACAAATGTAGTATTGCCCTCAGAGCAGTGGCATTGCACCTATTAGGATAAAATCATTCAATATGAAAGGTCAAAAGACAGAGGAAAAAAAATCAGCTTTAATGAGTATTGTCTAGCAATAATTTAGAAATACTTTACTATGACTAAGGTAGGTATTGATTAAAACTAAATTATTACTGTAACTGTCTGCAAAAATGAACACGATACATTTTTTTTCTGACAATAAAAAAAAAAAATCAATATGTCTGGGGAAAGATGCTAAAGCAAGACATGTGATGTCCAATAAAATTACACGTGTAAAAATGCCTCCAAGATACTGATTTATGCCTGCGTGAGTCATGCGTGAGAGGAACCGGAGAAACGGCGCTACTTGCGGAGCTTCAACGGCCCGGGCTGCGGTGGTGCTGCCGCTTCGGATGTCTGTCGGAGGACCGCAGCATCCCTCCATGCCCCCACCCCCTTTTCTTGCTCATGTTTATACATTAGGCTTTTCTGCAGCGATCCGCTGGATATTGATGTACCCACCCCTCCTCCACAACCCCCCACCCCATCCCATACAACGCCTCCTCCTCGCCACTAAAGAACCGCCGCGACTCTGTGCGCTCAGACGCGCTCGGCGTTCAGTCTCGTCCGGACCCCCGATGGCCTCCGATCAAAGGCACTGCATGAAGCACACCAGCAGCCACGGCCCCATCGTCCCCTAGCGAAGCCCACTCGTGGATTACCGCATTGTTTTGCCGTTCCCATCCAAACACGTAGCGAAGAAGAAGATGATGATGATGATGCTGCGCGCACCTTGGTGGATTTCCCTTTTGTGCCTCTGTGGATTGATGCACGTCGGTCACCAGAGCAACCCCCATTCCCTTAATGGTAATCCATCATCATATTATTAGTAGTATCACGATTTAAATAGCGTTCTTTTATTTATTTATATTCTGCTTCAGCCTATTACGGTTCCATGTTTTCACAGAATTGGTAAATAAGAGCAACGGGGCATTTGAATACGGCGGTGGATGTGTCTTTTTTCTCCCCCCACTCCACAACAATAAAATGGGTGTTCTTCTCTTTCCCTTCCCCGGTGCAGGTGACGCTTCGTCGAGCGTCAATACGCCGCGTAAAGGAGGCGGCTGGCTGGACAAGAAGAAGGAGGACACGGTGCCCGTGCGGTTGCTCTACAGCAGACACAACCACAGCATGATCGGCGAGCAGGAGCTCAGCACCCGCGTCAGGGGCAGCCCCGGATCCACGCAGGTACACGCCGCGCATCGGTGGTGCTGTTGGATGAAGTGGCTCTTGTTTATTTGTCTGCAACCCCCTCTTGTGCTCTCGAAGCACGTGAGGAAAATATCAACAAAACATCTAAACGTGGCAATGTTGTGCTCGTGACTGCCTGCAGGGGGAACGTGTATTTTCATGTTTAGATAATCATTAGGTGGGGGGAAAAAATGATGAACCAAATCATCAGTCATAATCATTAATAATCCATTCTATGAAATTAAATATTTATGAATTTAGAACATGCATGATTTTCATTACCCAAATGCACATCTGATGTCAACGATGGAGGATGATGCTGACTATTCAGTCTTATTACAAAAAAATCAGCCGCAGAAAACGATGACATTCGCCAACTTCCACATGCATACAAATGCCACAAGTTGCTATTGGACCTCTTGTCCGCTAGGGGGGGGAGGTCACAATTCCTGGACAACTAAATACATCAGGCATCCTGTTCACAGTAAACTGAATCAGGGCTTCAATTGAGAGTTGAACAAGGACACGTTCAAGATACTTTTCTTCAAGCCCTCGCAATGAATGACGCGCATTTTCCTCACCAGATGGCTGTTAAAGTAGATATGGACAATTCTACAGAACTCCGATGCGGTGTTGATATTCACACCGAACTGGAAGGACTAATAAAACATTCCTTTTACACAAATAATGCCTGAAAATGGGGAATTAAGTACAGTAAAAAAAAAAAAAAGAAACAGAACTGACTGAGAACCATCTACATGGCTCCTTTCGCTGCCTCTTTTGGAATCGATGCATAAAAAGTAACGTCCCCCACGGCTATTGCTGTATAGACAAAACCGAGTGAGCAACACTTGAAAAAGCACGTGATGAGTTCACAACAAGCAATTTGCTGCAGTCACCATCATGATGGATCTAACGGCAACTCATAGAGATGCGGCATGTGTGGTGGGCCCATTTCAAACAAAACATCAATTCGTGTAATTCAAACCTCTTCATGTGGGCTTGTGCGGGGCTCAGAGAGCATAGGGGGCTGCAGGTGGTCGCAGTCATTGAAGCCTTTGTCTCTTTAACACCTCAGGCAAGAAAATGGCAGCGAAATAACAATTCTATGACTCCCTCCGAAGCAAATTTACTAAACAGGGTGAGGAAAAGTGTCAGGTGTGAATCTTTTTGCCGAGCCTTTTAGTTTTTTACATTAATATTTATTTGCTTTTTAATGTGGTTTGACTTTGAAGTGTGCCATTACATCAAAAGTATTATTATTGTTGTTGTTGTTGTTGCTGTTATTCTTACTACCCCATACGCACAGGCATCCCGCTGCCGCTGTTACAGCTCTGAAAGGCAGAAAATTGCCAGGTGGTCTTTGTCCCCCTTATTTCACGTGGATGCCATTTATACCAAAATTGACTAGAAAATAGATTTGTGATGGTTGTAAGAGATGTTCACAAAGCCCCAGGAGAGTTGGCACTCATCTGCGATGTCACATGAAGAGAGTTTGATCACGTATTTGGCTGTTTTTAGCGCCACAAGTCTAAAAACAAACCTGTCCAGTGGATTTGAAAGAATGTCACACATACTGAATGTTATTTATAGACTCTCCGGACTATTTTTAAATCTCAAACGCAAACATCAACACCACCAGCAGAAGAGTAGCAAAAATTTCTGTTTGGTGGAAAAACAAAGCCCGTAAATGAAACTAGCCTGTGTGCGTATTTGCTCGCTGAGTGTACACAGAACACAATTACTTCTATCTCATTGCATCAGACATTTCATATCGGAAATTAGATCAGATTACAGTGGTACCTCTGCTTACGAACGTCTCTTCATACGAAATTTTCAAATTACGAAACGTCTCAACAGGAAAATATTGCATCTTATTACGAAAGAAATTTCAAGAAACGGAATGTAAATAAATATACAGTATGGGCTGCTCCTTGCAAGTCCGAGTTTCCTGAACGCAACGTACTTATAGCTGCTCTGCCACTGGCTATTACTGAGCATCTTCCTGGCATCTCATTGGCTAAGAGGGACATCTACCGAATGTGTCTATGTGTGCAGATAGAGAAATAGATATGTGTCGATGCAGCGTCCTCGTCATTCGCCACTCGGACCATGAGGCATTCCGATAGTTTTATGTAAATGGGAATCACCCAGAAAAAAGTGTTCACCAGTCGAGCGATCGCTCACTTTGCTGATGTTTGCCTTGGACATTTTCGAAGGATTGTTAATAGCTGACAAAAGCAAACGTCCTTGGATCAGTTCTTTACAAAACGCCAGGCAAAAACCACTTCTGAGAGAGAACATGGACTAAAGAGGGCAAAAAAAAAAAAGATGAGGACGGAGTAAAAAGTTAAAAGACCATAATTTTTATTCTTTACTCTTTGTTTTTTTACATTATGCACAACTCTCATTTATTGTGCAGTAATCTAATTGTAACATGTATTTGTTACATATATTGATGCATTTTTATGCTTTAGGAAACATTTATGTCTGAATTTTGGGTGGCTTGGAACGGATTAGCGCATTTACATGGAAAACGCGTCTCTACTGGCAAAATTTTTTAGTTAGGAAATTTCTTCCAGAACTAATTAATTGCGTAAGTAGAGGTACCTCTGTATATACCTTTTACGCACCCTTACATGCATTGAGCAGAGCAAACAAGAGAGGCTTCTACTCCTTGGGGAAATTGCGCTGTGAGGTCACCCTTGGGAGAGCACAAGGGGCACCTCCCCAAATGGACCCCCTCCCCAACCCCCCAAACCACTTCCCCCTTTCCCTTGTGGTCCTGCAGCATCCACGTTGACTAGACCGCGCCGCGGCATAAGGGTGGAAAGAAGGCGAGGGACCAGCGGAATGAGTGTTGGAGGGTTCTCATTGACCCTGAGGGGTGTGGGATGAATGAATGAATGAATGAAGCTGGATGCACCATCTGTGCCCGACACTGGAGTGGAATGAAAATTCACCTCCAGTGAAATCAATTACACTCATGCGGCCGCAGTTGATGCATATCTGTGTGTTATAGACCGAAGAATGTATAGTCTGGAGATGATGTCCATTTCTAGGCCAATATTTTTCATAGCCTGCCGACATGGCATTACAGCGCCACCCCAGACGAACACTTTCAAGCTTGTCAAATTTAGACGTCTGTCTTGCATGTTGTACAAATTTTGGACGTCGAACTCTCACACCGCAAAGCACATCACAAGACTTCTTTTCACTTTTTCTGAATATATCGAATGGTACAATATGGTTGATGAGAAGAACAACAACACGAGAATAGAAGTTGGCAAGAAGTAAGATGGCTCATTTAAAAAAAAAGAGAAGAAAATGTTGGGGTGCCCTACTTTTGTCCAGTGAATGTTTCAAGGCCGTAGTTATGATGGATGAAGCTTTTCTTGTGTTCAACCATTATTGTTTATGATGAGGAATTTTTCCACTTCCTGTTTTTGTTCCATGTCGGACTCTGAGGCTTATTGACCGATTTATGAGGACTTTGAATCTCTTGTGACTGATGTAATACATTTGAGTCAATCTGTTTTTTGATTTCTGCAAGAAACCTTCGTGCCGATGAAGTCATTTGCCACCATTTGGTACTTTTGTGTCATTTCAATCGAAAACAATACACAATTAACTAAAAAAAATGGTTACTGGAAAAAAAAATTCCAAATTATTATTAGATGAATAATTATGCATAATATGTCTCAACCCTTACAACATAACATTGAAATAATGGCAAGCATATCGCTACACTATGAATTTTTGAAGGCCTTTTTTTTGTTGTCTCCTTACATCACGTTGCTCTCACGTGTCAGTACACACCATGGCTGAAAACTCCAACATTTGCATAATTTTCAGCACCAGCCGCAAATTAGACGAGTTGATGTCTTAATAAGCAGCCATTTCGTCTGCGGCGACGGGCTGCAGCCATCCATCCGTGTCCATTTGTCTAATGCGTGCATGTCATTACGTGCCCTCTGATCCGTGAAGATGCTCATAGCTGTAAGTGATCCGTCCTTTCTTGCGTGTCCTCTTTCAGGTGAACCACGTGGCCCAGGCCAGCTTTCAAGTGGAGGCTTTTGGCAGGAAGTTCACCTTGGATATGGAGCTCAATCAGTGAGTTGTTCTTGTCTGTCTGCACTTAGATGCCGTTATAAATTCTCTCTTGCTTCCTTGTCGGGCACGTGGCTGCTGTGCACAATCGAAAATGTCAAGTCAGTCTTTTTTTTTTTTGTTTTTTGTTTTTGTTTTTTAATGCAATTGCTTTTAGCATTCACCGAAGAGTCAAATATGTGACGCCGATGCTTATTTAGCTACTAGAGAGTCATTTTCTGGTGCATTTACTGTTGATGTGCATATTTGTGTGTGTGTGTGCATGTACAGTGTGTTTGTTATGGGAGTGATTGAGAGGCTCCGACATAATTTACGGTAAAGGCTGGAGCACTGTGCTGTCAGACACTGATATTGATCACCACTGATGGAAAGTGAGCGACTCACTTTCCTCTCCCTCTCGCTTTACTCTTGACTCCCCCCTCCCATCCTTTCATGCCCACCCCCCTCACTCTCCCGTATACAAAACATAACACACCCTCAAGCTTAGCTTCACCGAGGAGGTTTTGTTTTCATCGCCGTCTGTTTGTTAAGCTTTTGTTATACAGTGATCCCACATTCGGTGCCTTTAACACAGAGATTCAGACAATGAAGTCATTATTGGGGTCAGCATCTGGTGTGACGTAAAGTATAAATAAAGTATTAGTTTGTAGGTGACAGTTTTACAGGGCGAGGAGAAATGAGTCTTGGGGCTCTCTATTCGAGCACGCTACAACTGTGTGTGTTGGCAGCCTATATTTTGTTTTGGTATTTTCACAGATCCGTACAGTTAGAAATGGATAGTTTGCGCCGTTGTGGGCGTGAACCCAGCCGATTCACTTCATAGCAAATGGAAGTGGTTCCTTTTGTTTGCTTTAAAGCTGACAGGTTTAAAAACAATAATTACAAAAGTTGTTTTTGTTTTTTTTTTTTTTTTTTTAAGAAGCTAGAGCGGATTAATGGCATTTCCATTTATTGTATTGGGGAAAGATGTTGGAGGGTCGACTCTTCCCGTTTTGTATACATCCTGCAGCTCATCGTGTGATGTATTGTGTCTGTTTTGTTGACATGTTTAGAATCTCACTGTGACCACACACACACACACACACACACACACACACACACACACACACACACACACACACACACACACACAGGCGTAATCCGCTGTCCTCTTCATATCATCTTAAAAGGAAAACACATGAGTGAAATGCTGTTTCAAGATGACCGTAGAAGGGAATTAGCCTCCATCCAGCCACTCTTTGCACCACTTTAACGTGTGTGGCAGTGAATACCAATACACTCAGCGGCCAGCCAAATGTGCTACTGACTCAAGCCCAGGTTTTAACAAAGAACTGAACACCCCGTGCCAATAGTAGGTGTCGGCCCCTTCTTATTTCTCACGTCATTAAATTTCAGTTATTGACTTTGATTTGCAGGGTTACAATATTCCAAAATACAGTGCATCATTTACCATTTCAGGGACAGCGGTTACAAGAGTGGATAGCTTATCAGATTACAGGATATCATGGTTGGTGCATGAAAGGGTTAATATGACAAGCAAATAACAACGACATGTGACCTGCTACATCGTTGTAGCAGGTCAGCTGTTCATTATCTGTCTGATTGATCATGAACATTTGACCAGTTATAACAATCCAGGACAACAACAGGGCTAAAAATGTGGCGGCCGCACTCACTGACATTCAAGTTAGATGTCAAGTAGGGGCTGCAAATGGCCCCCCGGGCTTCGAGTTGGAGACCCCTGGTGCAAAGTATAAAAAAAAAAAAAAAACTGCAGATATTTCCTGAATATAATTGATGTGACGTTGAGAAGATTTCATTGATCTTACATATCCAGTAACTTCTGGTCAAATGTCCTAAAAAGTGAGTTACTATCCTATCAAGTCTGTGGCACAATTTGAAGTCATGCAGCAGTGCTCCTTTGGTTCTTAGCTGGTGAGTGTGATTGACAGCGTCTGTGTGTGTCCCACTTCGAGTCCCACTTTTTCATCCCTCATGAGGGACACTTTCCCACTTTGGGTGTCTGAATGTCGTCCACTCACACACACCTTCACGAACCGATTCCCCGAATGCAGCACAGACTTGACGTTCATTTAGTTTTTTGTTTGTTTTAAACTGAAAACCAGATTTTTTTTGTTTACCAGAGTGGGCGGTAGCAGAGCTGAGCTGAATGGGCCATCATGCTTTGTTTTGGTTTTTTTTTCCTCCATAGGTAACAGAAATCCCTCCTTCATTCTTGTTGAAAATGTTCCCTGTAGTGTTTACTTGTGTCTCTGTATGTACACAAGCCCACATGCGAAGTGTGTCTGATGTGTATACGGGAGGAGGGGTCTGTGCTACTCTCTCCATCATTGTCTTTGTCTGCCTCCTACTCCTTCATCTCTTTGACCGGCTGCTGCAACATTTACATTCATTGGACAAAAGCAAGTGGAAGAGCCGCACACACACGATTGTGGGGGTTGCCCCCTTTTTTTTTTTTTTAATCAACCTCAACCAAACACACACGTCTCCTCCTTCCATTCAGCTCTTATATCCCCGCACCCCACGTCACCCGCGCCTGCATGGTGAATAATAGATAAGATTAAAGAGGAGTGTGTACATGTCAATGTATTTTGGGACTTTAAAAAAGGGAGGGTGATGTAACACACTGTCTTGTGTTCAAGTGTACACAAGCATATAGAAAACAGTTGTACTCATTATGACAGTAAAACCATATCGTAATCAGAAGGAAAAAAAAGGTGGACCTCAGTTCTATAGCTTTCTAACCAGATAAGATCCAAATGTGACGATTGAAGATACTTTGGGGGATTTGATTGGGATGTTACACTTTAAACAACATGTAGGAAGCTACAGCAGCAACAACTAAGAAAGATAACAAGCAATATATATGATATTTAAATTATATATAGGGGACTGGACTGTCTAAGAATTGTTTATGTTATTTATTCCTTTGTTGTGTGTTCAAAGAATAGAATTTATTTTGTGATTTCCTCGCTTGATTTTCTGTTTTGGTGCATTATTTTTGCTTTTTTTAGTGTCTTTGGAAGAATCGTTAATTTACGTTTTTTCGGAAGCGGTCTTTGAACGTCTTTCAAGCCGAACGAGAGAGCAGGCCCGTCGTAGTCGAGAGAGACGCAGTTGAGACTGTTAAAAGCACGAATAAAGTGTACGTTTTAAAAAAACCACCCCTACAGCTCTACTTTTTTTCGGAGCTGTAACATATATTAAGGGCACGATTAGCAGAAAGCAAACTATAACGACATTACTGTTACGTTTATTTCTTCTGTATTGTGTCTGCTTCTGCTTCTTGACAAATTTTGATTGACTTGCTGAAAGCAAATCAAAATACATCCAAATATGATTGATTAAAATGTATTTATTACAGGGTTCCCACTCTTCCACTTGCTTTTTATTTTTGGACTTTTTAAGGACTTTTGAGGGCTAATTTATTCATTTTTAAGGACTTTTTCTCCATTCAACAGGGGATTCACGGTGGATTTCATGAACAGAAAGCCACATATGACTGAACTGGTGTTCAAATCATTGCTGCCAAAGGAAGGGCACATCTTTATTTTTAGGGGCAATCAACTAACCCTTTATTTGACATATTGGATGTCAAATTGGCGTGAAATGACCCGAAGTGATCACGTAATCATCATCAGAACTGATCGGAGATGGCGGGAAAAGCAGAGCGGGAACCAGGAAGACATGTAGCCCGACAGCAGGGTTTGAGGGGAAGGGTGCCAGGCGCATTTTCCGACAAAACTATAATTTGGAAGGGTGCGTAAAATGACATACACAAATGAAATGAATACCACAGGTTAATTTTTATGGATTATTATTGATTTTAGAAGCTTTCCCTGAAAATTAAGGACAATTAAGAACATAATTTTACAACTTATTTTTTTAATGGATTTTTATGAACTTGAAGGACTGTTTAATCGTAACCTTTCTCTATTAATAACGGTGCGAATATCATTATCTTTGTCTTATGTTGTAACCAAATGTTGACAATTAAATTGTCACTTTTAATCACCAAATATGATGACTGCAACTTGAATGTTGTGGTGGCAAAATCAATCGTGACAAATTGCCTTTGCCGCATTGGTCGACCGAGTGAAAGCTGACTTCTCACTGCGCCTCCACTTTTCACTCCAACGTCTAAAATCAATAACAATTCAATGGGTGAAGCATCATCGCATTATGACAGAAGATAACCAGAATGCAGCCATCATGATTGGTTAGTAAAAGGATGCCAACTATTTGGGGGGCCTTTAAGAACTCAACCAGATGCGCATAAGCAGGGATGGAAATTCGTCAGGCCCTCAGATGAACTTTCAAAACAAAAATGGGCCCTGATAGGGAAAAAGGCTTCTCCTTTGTGGCATTTGAAGTCGGAGCAGGTTTTCTTGTCTTATATCGGTTACATCATCACTCCAGTGTTACAAAACAGGAACAAGAAGGCTCGCGTCCCTCCTGTGTGCAGTTGTTGACACTGACAGGCGCTCAGTGTGTTGTTATTCCTTCCGGTGTCGCGTCAGCTTTCCTGCACGCAGTCATGCTCCTTATGCTAATGCACGCTTACCGGCAATGCCGAATGCATTATTCAACTGTGTGGAAGGCGTGTGTGCACGTGCGTGTGTGTGCAATCCTCATCCGTCTATGTGGTGAGGGTTGGACTGGATAGAACGCTCATGTGAACAACAGGGTGCCTCCAAACGTACGTGTTTGTCCAAAAATGAAGCAAACGTCCCACGGGCCGGTAGTTGGATGAACGCATGGATGCGCGTGGGTGTGTCTGTGGCTAAATAAGAGTGTGGATGAATAACATTTGACTTCTTAATAACATGCGAACCTGCAACGTTGTGCCATCTTGTTGGGCTTAGTTTGCAGAAGTGTCATAAGTTTTTTCCTAATTAAAAAAAACACACACACACACAAACGGGTGGATGGAAATAATGAGGCAGATTAAAAAGTGGTGAAGATTAAAAGAGGATCAGAGG